CGGTTTCACGGGCCTGCATTTGGACGCGACTCAGCTGGAGCAAGCGTCGCGAGACTTCGCCCATGCCGGCCTCGGGCTTCGGTCTACTGCTCGGGATGCGCCTGCCGCCTACCTGGCTTCTGTCTGAGGCAGCTACAAGGCGTGCTGTGAGCTCGATGCCTCCTATGGCCTTGCTCCCCTCAGCGGTGACCCCTACGTGGTGCAGGCGCTCGCCGCCTTCAACGACTTTCTGCCCCAGCCCCTGGCCGCGGATGTTGTGCTAGCTTCCAAACAGAAAATGCTCACCACTGCGGAGGCCAGCTGGCAAAGGCACTTGGCCACCTCGTCCCTCACTGCCCGTGCTGTCCTGCGGTCTGAGGCGGAGCCCGGAGCCCGCGCCTTCCTGGCAGCCGTTCCAAGTGGCCCAACCCGCATGGAGTCAGCTGCCTTTATCGTGGAGCTGCGGCAACGTTTCGGAGCCCCCGACGCTGCTTCGGACACCTGGTGTCCCCTGTGCCAGGGTGTGCTCGACACTCACTCCTTGCATGCCAGCACCTGCGCGGCCGGTGGTGAACGAACGCAGCGACACCATGCCCTCCGTGATGCTTTGTGCAACTGGGCGGCCAGGGCAGGGCTGCAGCCTGAACGAGAGCGGCCGGGACTACTCCTTCCCCAGCGCCCTGAGGAGGCCCGTGTTGCTGCAAGGCGCCCCGCCGACATTTATTTGCCCAGCTTTCAGGGCTCTCCCGTCGCACTTGACCTGGCCGTAGTGGCCCCACAGCGTCAGGAGAGCTTGGCCCAAGCTGGACAAGTGGCGTTGGCCGCCGCGTCTTCCTACACCCACACCAAGGAGACACACCTAGACACAGCCCGGCTGTGCTCAGCCCAAGGCGTGCGGTTCAGACCCTTGGTGGCAGAGGCTACTGGGGCCTGGACTCGGGATGCCTCTACAGTCCTGCTGGCCGTTTCCAAAGCTGTAGCGGTCCGGACCAACCAGGAAGCATCACTCCTGCATGCGCAACTCTTGCAGGAGCTCAGTGTCATTTCCCGAGGCCACAGAGCTCGGGCAGTGCTCAGGCGCCGGGCGGAGGCGAGCGAGCACACGTAGATCCGCTGCGTTTGGGAGGACCCTGCGCAGGTAAGGTGGGAAAGTTGACGGGCCTGGCTGCGTCTTCTTTCCGCGACCTTTTGGGCGCTGCGTTTGGGAGGACCCAGCGTAGGGGAGAGGGGATGTGGACGGGCATCGCCACGTCTTCGTCCCGCGTCTCCGGTTCATCGGGCACAGGCAGGGGTGTTCCACCGTCGGTGCTGGACGCAAGTCGCAGACAGAAGGGCTCGGGAGGACCTTGCCTCGTGGTCACGTGGCTCTGCTTGGGCATCCGTCACACTGTGACGAAGCCTGTGTTCCCATCCTCGTGTTTGTTTAAGCGCGGGAGCTGCATGCACAGCTGGCAGCACTCTTCCCACCCTTTGCTTTCCACTCTTC